CTCTCTCTCTCTCTCTCTCTTTGCCCTCTCTCTTTCTTTCTCCCTCTCCCTCTCTTTCTCCCTCTCCCTTCCCCTCCCTCTCACCCACCCTTTTTACTCGTCACCTTATTCTCTCTTTCTCCACCTCTTACTCGCCTCGCAGAGGTGAGTTGTTATCAGGTCTCGCTGGTATTCTTAACGAATACCTCTGTTCGTTACAAGATATGTAAATTCTATATGTCACAATAATACAAATCAGATTTCACATTTTGCAATTTTTTTCAACATTTAAAGATTCCAATCATATGTATAAACTTTGGAATTCTACACAGCAAAATTCAACATCCATATTATACTTTCCACGGAGGTACATACGTGCAATGTATGGTTGGACCTGTGCCAAACAAACATTTGAAGAACCTTCCTCCAAGTGATCTTTCCATTTGAAGAATCATTTATAGAGTAAATATTATTGTAAATTATGATTAAATCCATTGTATTTTTTTCGTGATTCTGCCAAGAAAACTTGTGCCTATATTAACGTATGCAAAATTTTTGGAAATTAAATATGATGACAATGAAATATCAAAATCCGGAGCAAGGATCAGCTACATGAAATTCAATTATCTTACCGGTAGTATCAGCTTGAAACTGAGTAAAAATAGTTCCGTCGACCACCAACATTCTTCCGTGAGGCAGAAGAATTATCGTAGGGGTAGCACCCATCGCCTGTTCACTGTTTCCAAACCTCGAGTCAGGCTCTGGGTCCTCCAATTGACAACAGCAATATTTCCTACACAACGATCTGCAAAAAGGTGCTCCCCAACAGCAGTATGCGAATATGAAGCAAAGTACAGCGAGCATAACTAACAATGCAGCAATCCCCTGTCCTTGTTGGGCAACTGCTGGATTTGATCCTCCCGTCACACCAACCCCCAGGCCAAATCCTACTCCGTTGCTGCTGCTCATCTCGCCTAGAAATGATGAAAAAGTTCACTCTTCGCTCATGCTGATCATTATGTATTTATTATTTAATGGAAAAATTTTGAAAGATTCTACACGTCGATCCACATTTTAGAATAGATGTGTTCTGTTTCTAATTGGCCACTTCTAAATTAATAATTTGAAGGCGTTCGTGAATTGCATGACTGTGTGACAAAGGGCATTTATATTCGAATATCTAGTAAACAGAATTGGGACTAAGTTCACTTGAATATCATAATAATGAAAGATTATTCACGCAGAAAATAAATAAATGAAATAAATAGTTTAGAGAGCATAGGGTAAACTGCCCAGTAGATGGATGCCTAAGAAAACCGCCCAGTAGATGGACGTTTGTTTTTTAGCAAATGAAAAAAAAAATTGATCGAAAAAAAATCGTCACTCAGGGGTTAAGAATCACGACAGTTGGTGAAAATTCAAAGCAACAATTCACATTTCAGTGTTTTTTTGCGTAATTTCCTATCCAAAAGTAGCTCGTCCATCTACAGGGCAGTGTCCATCTACTGGGTAGCTTATCCTACTCTGTTTCCTCCCTTTGTACATAAATCATGAATAATTATTGGATTAGAAGAAAAAGGGAATACAATTCACGATCTTGAGAAAACGGGGCAACGAATTACTTCTCAGGAAAGACATGGGCCAGAAATTCTGGCCCACTGATTGACGATACTGACTTATGAGACATTTAGTTTAGAAACGAGATTGAAAGAATATTTAGTGTGTAAATGAATCTAAAATTAAGAGAATTTAAATAATTAGGCTCCAGAAATCATAAGAGAATTGAGTTCATTCGTGCCAAAACTTTGGCACTGTGACTATAAACAATTTCGCTGATAACTAAGAACAAAATTTTTTGCAAAAAAAACTCCTTCCAGGAAAATTTTTGTTTGGTGATTCGTGAAAAACCGAAACATTAATATATACAGAATGACAATTAGGAAGTTGCCTAAACTAATCGTTTATAACTTTGAAATGAGTACCAAGAAAAAAAAAGAAAAATAGATATGAATTGAGTAAAGATGTCATTTTCATTTTGAATTAGTTTCAGTTGAATCAGACACTTCTAATAGATACTTATTGAGATTTGAAAAAAATTGGCAAATTGAGCCAGGAGATACCTATTGATGGTAAATATTTTCGAAGTGATCTTCAATCGAATTTGCACAATAATCAAGCCGTGTTCGGAAATTATGAAAAACTTGTTCAATCTGAGATGGAGAAATACCAGAAATTCCGTCTCTGATGGTTTCTTNAGAAAAAAAAAGAAAAATAGATATGAATTGAGTAAAGATGTCATTTTCATTTTGAATTAGTTTCAGTTGAATCAGACACTTCTAATAGATACTTATTGAGATTTGAAAAAAATTGGCAAATTGAGCCAGGAGATACCTATTGATGGTAAATATTTTCGAAGTGATCTTCAATCGAATTTGCACAATAATCAAGCCGTGTTCGGAAATTATGAAAAACTTGTTCAATCTGAGATGGAGAAATACCAGAAATTCCGTCTCTGATGGTTTCTTTCAAATCATCTTTGGTCTCGGGTTTTTCCGCATCAACATTATCTGTCAGGAAGCTCTATAAGAAGTCACACGGGTTCAAATCGGGTGAATAAGGGGGCCATTCCATANGCAAATTGAGCCAGGAGATACCTATTGATGGTAAATATTTTCGAAGTGATCTTCAATCGAATTTGCACAATAATCAAGCCGTGTTCGGAAATTATGAAAAACTTGTTCAATCTGAGATGGAGAAATACCAGAAATTCCGTCTCTGATGGTTTCTTTCAAATCATCTTTGGTCTCGGGTTTTTCCGCATCAACATTATCTGTCAGGAAGCTCTATAAGAAGTCACACGGGTTCAAATCGGGTGAATAAGGGGGCCATTCCATACCTCCATGCGCAAACTTGGGGTATCCTAATCCGATGAAGCAATCACAATACACTTCATAAATAGCTTTAAATACGTCCTCAGTTCTAGGCGGTGTAGCACCATCTTGCATAAAATAATAGTTCTTAACCAATCCTCTTCTTTTAGCCAAAGGGAAAAATTTAGTTTGTAGCATTTCTCGATAACTATTGCTTGTAATGGTCCCTTCTATTAATTCTAAGTGTATTGTTTTGATTGAAATAGCTGCCCAAACAGTCACTTTAACAGGGTGTAAAGACTTTGCCTCAGTTGAGGATGGATTTTCGCGACCCCAAAAACGGTCATTTTGTTTATTTACATATCCATTCAAATAAAAATGAGCTTCGTCTGTGAAGATTATGTGATTGATGTCGATCTCATCATTTTCAAATTTCTGTGTTATAATTTTACAAAACTCAATTCTTTTCGTTTTGGAATCTTCTGTGAGCAACTGATGGTTCGTAATTTTGTAAGGGTGTAACTTGAGGAAATTCTGCAATATTAATCGCAATGTCTCCCGGTTCAGTTTCAAAGTTGCCGCTGCTTTTCGTATCGAATCCGTTGGATTATTCTTGAAATTTTCTTCGATCGTGGCAATCGTATCTTTTGTTGTAACTGAGTCTGATGGACCAGGAAGATCATGACGACGGCCCTCAAGAGTATAATACTTGATGAAATTATCAATCACTCTGGGAGAAAAAGTAATAAATACTTGGAAGTTTTAGTCAAAAGTGAGGTATAAATTTTTCTTTATTTTCATCTTCTGAGGGTGTTTTGACTGGCTACTTTTTTACTTTCAAATTTGGTACGAAAGTGTCTATATGCTTCAGTATAGTTTTTACTTCTAATATAAAAGTACTCGATAAGATATACGTTTTCTTCGTTTGTAAGGTTACTCATTTTGAAGGACTTCTTGTAGCGTCTCAATAGAAACTGCCAACACTCTAGTATATATCTAATGGACCTAACTTTCCAGGCCTCAGTAGGAAGGGAAGCCATGTTAGTATACTTTAGGCAACTTCCCATTTGTCACCCTGTAGAATAATGTAATTTTAATGGAAGTTTTGAAGAAAAAATACTGGAATGAAAGTCGAAGCCATGCCTGGAAAGATCGAATGGATCATGCAGTATGCAATCAGATTACACTTACTCTAAATTCAAGAATTGAATGAAAAATTCTCATCGAATGAAAAAATCTGTTGAAGCAGCACCAACTGGCGCAGTATTTCTACCAAAACATTTTATTTTTGTGTTTTAGGGACATTTTAATTTCATAATAAGTAAATGAGTCTAATAAAAAGAAAACTAGTGAACCACACGAAGAAAGAAGAAAGAGGAAAAGTAACGCTCTCGAACTTTCTCCCTCCTTCCTGCATGAGGTTGAGTTGCACTGCTAGCAACTCAATTCTTCGCTCAAATAATGTGAAATGTAGAAAAGTGGATGTAAATCCATTGATATGTGCGTAAATTTCTTCCTGTTAACTCGAAAAGAAAATAGTTATAAAATTGAAAAGCTTGTGGCCGATTTATATGATGTAAAATAAATAGAAAGGTGCTGGGAGTAGAGTCGAAGACCATTCCACCATGTTTTTGAGGCGAGACCGTGAACAGTGTTGGAGACCGGTTGATAGACCGGGACAGTTGAGTATTTGATGAGCGAATCCAGTAGAGTGAAGAAGGGATAGCGATAAACAGAATAAGAGACAGAATGTAAACATACTGTTGTCACCATTCCCTTATGTCATTTTTCCATATTATCATCCACCATTTCATTACCCCCAACTCCCCACGCAAAACACAGAGATGCACATTATAGCAATATCCTGAATAGGCTTCTATTATTAAAGAAAAAAATTAAGAAGACATTGAGAATAATATTTTTATTGCATGATGGATCAATACGGAGCCGGACCTCGCCTTCGGCTCGACCTGTAAACTACACATTCGTTGAAAACGAAATTTGTGCCCTTGTACTCTAATGTACTATTATTTTTTGATGTTGCTGCCGCGTTCACCACGTGACGAAAAGTCTTTTCGGTTACTTGTAAATGAAAAAGACAGTTCGACCACTCGCTGAACTTATCATCATTGTTAAATAATATTGTTCGACACATGTGCGAGTAGGTGCTTAAAAATGATATTGTGAATACAATTCCTTTCTTTCGTAATGTCGTTTTAAGTGTGCCATTATGAAATTGTTATTGTAGAATGAATTTTATGAGGCTACAATTCTGGACATTACAGCCCTCGTTCAGAATCGTTCAATTTGCGGTTGAATCGATTTTTGAGTTAGTATTATTAAGGTATTTTCAGATTCTAAATCGTAATGTTTTCTTTCTTTTTGATAGCTGAAGGGGTGATCATGTTCCTTATGGGACTATGACCGTGAGTAAAGATATTGACGGAGAGGTTTTGCGAATTGCTTCGAACATTATTTTCATTCTACAGGTGGACTGAATTCGAACGGGTCTTCATTCATGTTGTGAAGTACATTGAAATAGTTCAAATATTCCTCGTATTTTCGTGGATTCAAATTTATTATAAAGGGGAGTAGTTGATTATGACTATAAATCTATTGTGTGATGAAACAGTATTTCTTTGGAGTGTATTATTCACATTGCTTATTTCATTACGAGCATGTACATATGACTTTTACATACATATCTTGGTCTATATCTTGGGATTTCGGTTATCAGTATTTATGATTCAGTTTGGAAATGTATATTGTCATTAATATTATTGTTATTATTATCATTTTTTACTCGTAAATGAGATCGCTGCACGATTCTCGAGGGCTCCGTCTTCACCTCGAAGACCGCCCAGCAAACTAAGCGATACAAACTTTTCCCAATAGCTTTGCCATAGTGCTCCCTCTGACCAGAGGATGAGCTCTACTGCAGTCCAGAATCCTGCTGTCTAAGTAGACGAAGGGATCCAAGGGTGGTAGCCTACTGGCCAGCATATTTGGCAAGCTAATATGAAGGCATTACGCCTAAAATCCGGGATGATTGGGAATGCGGATATGAAAGACTGCTGCATTCCCCCCGGAGAGTTAATAATGAGGACA